ATATATATATATATATATATATATATATATATATATATATATATGTATATATATATATATATATATATATATATATATATATATATATATATATATTATATATATATATATATATATATATATATATATATATATATATATATATATATATATATATATATATATATATATATATATATAATATATAATATATGTATATATATATATAATATATATATATATATATATATATATATATATATATATATATATATATATATATATATATATATATATGTATATATATGTATATATATTATAATATATAATATATATATATATATAATATATATAATATATATTATATATATATATATATATATATATATGTATATATATATATATGTATATATATATATATATATATATATATATATATATATATATATATATATATATATATATATATATTATATATATATGTGTGTGTGTGTGTGTGTGTGTGTTGGAAATACATATTGATATATATTGACATTGAAAAAAATTCTACATATGTAGAAGAAATTTAAATAAAAATAAATATAGCTCCTCTTAACCATTAAAACTCCAAAAAGCAAAGGGCACTGAAGTTCATTTACAATTCAAATACACTAATTCCAACTTAATAATACGGGTATTATGTGAACTAACATTTTCTTACAATTTAAGGAATAGCAAACACTCTAAACCACCAACACCATACCGTTCTTCTGACAAAGTTTGTTCTCTTGAGCTCAATCTTGATGTCTCCTTGGATGGGTCGGGCCACTTCGTCTTTTACTACAAGTTGAATCATTTCCTTTCCTTTCTTCACTTCTGCTGGCTGGGAGTTATAGCCCTTTTTGTTACTGTGAGAGCTCACAACAAGGAACACCTCTGAAGAAAAAAATATTTCGATATAGGAATATTTATCCTGTATGAAAATAGCAAACATGAAATTATTTTGGTAACCATATTAAGGGAAATGTCTGCGAAACATCAAATATCTATTTTTTTTACCTATTCCCTCTAATACAAAAATGTTCTCATAAAAATCATTCCCATCCTACAATAAATCGAAGTACAATAAATAAAATATTCATCTAACAAAAAAAATTCAGCACTACCCTATCCTTCCGGGGAGATAAAACAATTGTCCACTCCTCTTTCCTCTCAATATTTCCCTTTTCTTTCTCTTGCTTCTCTTAGGCTTTGCCTCCAAGCCACATGTTTGCTTTTCAACTTCGATTGCATCACTGTGACTTTTTATAAGGTGGATAGCACATTATAAGAAGTCACAGACATATGACACATACTCTCGCCTTGATTGCTTACTAATAAAAATGACTAAATCATTTTTAAGCTGTAATATAAACACACTGTGGCCATAGTTTTCACTTTATATTCCCTAATCTTTTTTCAATCAAGTATGAAAAGAGGAGGATTTAATTTCACTTGCATATTTGGACCTGCTGTTTTAAAATTTAAATTCTTACACAGCTTTTATGTATCACTTTGATATGTTTCTTCAATATTTTTTACAATCATATCATCATCACAAAACTCTCAAGATACTATAAAATATCATTTTGCTGCAAACAAAAGAAAATATGTATAAAATGAACAGAACATCAAAAAATTTGTACTTACCCGAATTCACACTGGATAGCGGTGCATTCATTACAGCTTCCCTAAGGCGTACGTAAGGTGGATTATAATTAAAGTTTGACTTGACTAGTTTGGCATAGTAGTCCACATATCTTCTTTGGCTAGGTATAGTTACACCCTGAAAAAGAAAAAAAAATCACATTCTTGGTCCTCCTGAGCAAGTATCAATAAAGATAAAAATGTACATAGCCCCTAGGATCCGGGTGACGTCATGTCATGGAAAAATCTGGGTCAAGGGCCGGGTGACATGAACATGATGTCATCAGGTAAAATGGCCACAGGCCGGATGATGCTAATTTGCCGTCATGAGCGATTCCAGGGTGACGGAAAAGATTCGCCTCGAGTGCACAAACCTCTTGGAGTGTGATTCGACTCATTTGGCGCTTAGAAGGGGACTTTGGTATTATTCCCCTCGATAAATGAATGTGGAATATAACATGCATAAGCAATGACTGGAAGAGCACTGGCTCCAGGGAGGACACCATTTCCATGCTGTGCTCCGTAACCCTGGTCGCTGTGACAAATAAGGACTTTGGAAAATGGCCAAAAGGCTAAAAAAGTTTACAAAAAATAACTTTGCAAGGGGGAGATACAGAGTCATTTCACCGATCATGGGTGTTCGTGCACCCCCAGCCTATGCACTGCACACCCAGGATGTTGGTTACTTACATAACCCACTGCCCATATTTTCAGCACAGTGATTTCTGTGACAAACCCAACCAACGGGTTAATGTACGGAATATACTTTCTGCAAGACATTTCTAATAACAAAAATATCTTTAGATATAAAGCCAAAAAACAGGCACACCCATTTTCCTAATCAAGATATACACCT